TACATAGGTTATATGCAAATACTGTGCCATTTTATTTCATTTTTTTTTTGTTTTTTGGCACTGGGAATTGAACTCACAATCTCGCACTTACCAGGCAGGCGCTGTGCAGCTGAACTATATCGCCAGCTCTATGCTACCTTATATAAAGGGCTTGGCTATCAGCAGACTTTGTTATTTATGCACCTCCTGGAACTAATTTATTATAATCTCAAATACTGTGTATAGTCATCCAAGTATTATAATCTTCTTTTTAGTTTTCCTCACAATCAAAAAGGTTATATTTGTAATCCCATTGAGACGTCATTGGAATCCCAGCAAGTTAATTTTTATCTACCACCACCAATACAACCCACAACCAGAGTAAAAACAATAAGACATATTCTAACTTAAGGGCAGCCAAGGGGTCCTAAGGCCAATCCCCTTGTGTATGTGTGGACAAAGGCCTCTCCTAGGCCTGATCTTAGGCCTCTCCTAGAATTTATTATCTTGTGAAGGTAGGGCGGTGGCTCAGGGATGAGTGACAGTGAGGATGGCTAGCCAGGTAGAAGAAAGGCATCTCTGTAAATAAAGAGATAAAGTTTATCTCTAAAGAGATAAAGATATGCAGAAGGATCAATTTATACAACTTATTAAGGTAGCAACTGAATTTTTTCGGGAGGCTGTGGCTTTGGTGCAAACTCTTGTACCCTAGGGAGTCATAGTCTCTTTTATCTTATTAAGGTTCCTATCCAGTTGACATTCCCAGAGCTATTAGCTCTAACAGCCAGCTGTGTTCATATCCTTTACACCAAGAACATTATGTGAGGAAACTGTCTGTTGACTTTAGAGATAATATACCAATACCTGACTAGCCTTATTTGTAATGCTTAGAGCCAGTTAAAGACAGAAAAAAAAAATATATCCAGCTCTCTACATATCAGTATAATAAAATGTCTCCAAATAATCAAAGCTGCAGTAATTGTTTTGCATTCAAGGGAAGTCACTAGAGTTGTCTCCCATACAACTCTTTGTGGATAACACCGGATAAACCAAGAAAATATAACTGCCTACAAGTCTCACACTGTCAGTATTTTGCACATTATTTTTAAATGTTAGTATTGCCTGTTATACTTATTCAAGACACTTAAAGCTGTCTTCTAGTATATAGATTTATACTATTCTTGTATTTTATGGAAAATTAGCTAAATGGGTTTTATAATTTTTAAAACGTTATTTTCCTTAGTAATAGTTTTACATATTTAAAGGCTTATAATAAAGGCTGGAATTCCAATGGAATTCCCTTTTCCTGAAACTATTCTTTATATAATTTTGTCCCCTAGAAGCAACTGATTTTTTAAAAATATTTTATAAACTATTCTTTTTTGAGATTAACTTTTATTTCTTAAAATGTGTATTTTCTGCTGGATTATTTTTAGACTCTTAAAAGTGAAGTTTTAGCTTTAGTTTTTACCTTTTCATTTTTAATAGTTGTAGGAATCTTGGGACCTTTGCCTTCCAGTCAAGTGTTCTACTATTGAGCTACATCACTAGGTCTCCCCATCCCCCTTCCCTTTTTTGAAGGGGGAGGGATTGAACTCATGACCTTGCCCTTGCCAGGCAGGCACCTACACCATTGAGCTAAATCCCTGGCCCCTTAAACCCCGCTTGTCCAGGGTTGCACTGAACTCCTGGACTGAAGTGATCCTGTCAGCCTCCTGAATAGCTGAGACCACAGGCTGTATCACTGTACCTAGCTCATCTTTTAGTACCTACCGACTCCTTCCATGTAGTTACAATAAACTTTTTCTTCATTAAATCATTATTCAGTATCACAAATATGTGTTTGTTGGGATGCAGAGTACCAATGTCTTGAGTTTTCCTTTATTCTCTCCTCAAGGGTTAACAATTGCATTATTTGTTCATGTACTTCACCCATATTACTATAATATATTATTGCTGTTAGAGCAAGAATGGAGCAGTTGAATTATCCAGACTTTCGAAGATCTAGAGGGGTGAAATTCAACTGTTCTGCCAATGTCTATCTTGATATATACTCCAAGCTAAAAATAGGTCAGTTATTATTGCCTTGGCCAGCATAGGATTCTTCCATTTTTAGCCAGAAGTTAGTTAGTAGGGGACAAGCCTATCCAGGTAGGTTCCATGATTCAACAAAGTTAAGGAAAAAGGGTCACAGATACACGAGATAATAATATCAATTCTCTGGTATTAACTGCTTCAGGCAGATCTTTTTGGTTTGCCACATGTTAAAACTTTACTATTTGTAATTTATTTTTAAAAAATCTATTAAGCCATGTTATCAAAACTAAAAGTCATTTCTTTTTCAAAATAGACGTTATGACAGCGTTATAAACCGGCTGTACACTGGTATTCAGTGTTACTCTTGTGGAATGAGGTTTACAACATCACAGACAGATGTATATGCAGATCACTTGGACTGGCATTATCGACAAAATAGAACTGAGAAAGATGTTAGCAGAAAAGTCACTCATAGACGTTGGTACTACAGTTTAACTGTAAGTAATCCATATGGTTTTGAACTATCTTTTAGCCTTCAGTTTTATCTTTCTCTAAAGGTATAGTGAATTAATGTGAATTTTCATGACTAAAAAGTATGTGTTTGTTGTTTAGACTATACTAGTAGTACACAAACTTGTTCTGGTTTCAAAATTCCAAGTTTCAGTTATTGAAATTTTTTCATAACAAACTGTACATAATGTTTATCTACAGTTGTAACTTAAGAGTTAGTGGAAAATTAACATTAAAATCTTAATTGTTGGGGCTGGGGATTTAGCTCAGCGGCATAAGCACCTGCCTTGCAAGCAGGCAGTCGTGAGTCGTGAGTTTGATCCCTGATACCGATAAAAACAAAAAAGACCAAAAAAAAAAAAAAAAAAAAAAAAACTTAATTGTTCATTATTGGCTCCATAGGGCCAAAAGAGAAAGTATAATTTTAAATATTAGAGCATACTATAGAAGAATGAACCATTACCTTTAAATTGCGTTCTACTGAAGAAAAATAGGTTTAGAATAAATGAAAATGTTCTTTATAAATCAACTTATTTTAAGGACTGGATAGAATTTGAGGAGATAGCTGACCTGGAAGAACGTGCAAAGAGCCAGTTTTTTGAAAAGGCACATGAAGAAGTTGTGCTCAAAACTCAGGAGGCTGCTAAAGAAAAGGAGTTTCAAAGTGTACCTGCTGGACCAGCTGGAGCAGTTGAGGTAAGAGAGTAGTGTTTAAATTTTTTTTTTGTTTTTATGAGACAAGGTCTTACTATGCAATTCAGGCTGGCCTGGAACTCACAAAAGATCTTCCTGGCTCAGCCTGCTGAGTGCTGGGAATACAGGTGTATGCTACTATGCCTGGCTATTTTGGGAGTATTTTTCAGTAAATAATTACATATTATTTTATATTTCTTTCAAATACCAGTGACCAACTGTGGTGAAATGTTCACTGTTTTTTCCAGAAGTTTGACAGTCCTAAGATCTTTGTATCTGTGTTGTATATTGAGTATTATTTAAACTTGTACATTCTAAAATTTCTTACTCAACTAGTGTTTACTTTTATTTTACTGGGATTAAGTGTGTTCTGTTACGTAATTTTCTTTTATGTGGTTCTTAGAGTTGTGAAATCTGCCAAGAACAATTTGAACAGTACTGGGATGAAGAGGAGGAGGAATGGCACTTAAAAAATGCTATTAGAGTGGACGGAAAGGTAATTCTTAGTTTTTTACTTTTCATGTAAGTGTGAAGGTAAATTTTTTTGTTGGTTTACCGTTTTGAAAGAGTATAATTTTTTTTTGTGGCCAATAAGGCATTAGATTTTAGTCATAGAATAATTAAGTTTTGAGAAACTTTAGCAACCACCTGGCTATATATACTTACATAGCAGGTAGCATAATTACTGCTGAATTTGACTTGTTTGGAATCTTTGCTCTGCCCAACCATAGTTTTGAATTTTATGCTTCCATCATCAAAACTGTTACTGTCTTGATAGCACATCATGTTATATTACTTAAAATGTACAGAGCAAATTTAATGAGTTTTCATACTCCATATATTGATTTTAGCTCTTTTGTGATAAACTTTTATCACCTTTGCAAAGTCTAGTCTTCTGGCTTAAATTTTAAAAGAAAAAATCATTTCAGAATTGTCCATTAGAAATACATGTGAAAAGGTACTTACTTTTTTTTCCTTATTGCTTTAGATTTATCATCCATCATGTTATGAAGATTATCAAAATGTAAGTTCTTTGGCTACTGTATTCCTCATTTATATTATTTTCAGTTACTTTGACATCAGAACAATGCTACTGTTAATATATTGAGCTTTTTCTATGTTTTGATGTAGCAGTTGTTTACTGAATACTGGTGTTAGGATAACACCAGCAATCTGCCATCTTATGTGATGGGCAAATTAAATTTTGAAGTATTTTTAGTGTTCGTTCACTTGAATATTGATTTTTTTTTAGTAGAATATGATGCCTGGAGAAATGTGGAAAACTGAAGAATGATAGGAATTGATTTCTAGAACTGAAAAATATTAAATGCTTTTTTTTCCCCCTCATTTACTTGATTTAGCCATCTACTAGGGGAATACTTTTTAGATGACTATATATAAAATCTGAGAAAGACATGTCTTGTGCCCTTAAAATTTTAAATTGTTGCTTCGTATGATGGTTCAGTTAGCTGTTAATCCCAGCTAATAGGGGATTGAGGTGTGATAATTAAGAGGCCAGCCTGGGAAACTTACTCTCAAAATAGGGCTGAGTTTATAGTTCAGCATTTTATGGGTTCAGTCCCCACTACTAGAAAGGAAGAAACTCCCTAAACCTTGTCATATTCATAGGTTGAGTGTTTTAAGAAACAAACAGTGGAACACAGTGATTGTTAGAAGACACCGGGTTTGAAAAGTGGTTTGGGGAGGTATTTCGAGGTTATCCAAAAAAGACAGTGTTTCCTATGATGGTTTGTGGAGATAAAAAAATCTCATAATCAAAATTATGACAGAAAACTCAGAATATTTCTAAGGGTTGCCATTTCTGCAGGGTTTACATATAAAAGCTTTTCTAATCAATTTCTTTTGGTGTATATACTTGTAACTCAGCTCTTAAGTGTCATGGCTACTTGCTGAAATGTACTGAATGTTGCATTTTTTATTAATTGACTGCCTTTGTGGCATGTCTTGTAAGAAAGCATGTGTGTTAATTTGTTGTATGTCTTTGCTCAGACAAGGGTCATAGAAAACCGTATGTCCTTTCATGTGGTAACTTAGAACTTTTCATCAGTACTCATAGGCATTTTCATTTTGTAGACATCTTCATTTGATTGTACACCATCTCCCAGCAAGACACCAGTTGAAAATCCTTTGAACATTATGTTGAACATTGTAAAAAACGAGTTGCAGGAACCCTGTGAAAGTCCAAAAGTTAAGGAAGAACAAATTGATACCCCACCAGCTTGTACAGAGGAAAGCATAACATCAACTGAAATTAAAACAGAAAATGATACAGTTGAGTCAGTTTAAATAAAATGAGAAAGGTTTTTCTTTTTAAACAAAGCTGCTGTTGGATATAGAGGGTGAAGATTTTTTTATGTATATATAGACATATCTGTATAAATTGTCTAGCTGAGGCAGGGCCTTCAGCTATAATTTGGATAATAAATACATTTTAGTATTTGCATTTCCTACTGCCTGCACAGTTTCAGGTGCTTGTTGTGTGAAAGTTCTGTAGATGTGTGCAAATTTAATGAAATGAAATTGTATGTGTAAAAATGTACGATTTTCACTTGTCAAACTGTAAATTATAAATAAAAAATATTTTTGCTATACATGGAGTGTAATATTTATGCACACCATCAAATAAAGACTGTTTCTGTACTTTTTATTGGGTGAAAATGGAACTGAACAGCAACCTCAACGTAAGTTTTTTTTTTTCTAGTAGCTTTCCATGATTAAAGAAGCAATGTATGAAGGTAGTTTTATCCTTCAAGAGGGGATGGTGAGAGAACACTGTAGGACTTTTCTAGCAGAAAAGCCAGATTTGAAAAATTTAAAAAATAGGCCATTTTTGCATACACATATATAGATATGTATCTTCAGCTATAGAGAACCATCTAGATGTCCATTTTTGCAAATAATCTAATGAAGCAACTTTCATTGAACTTGGACACTGCTGCCATCAAGCAATTAACAAATATATTTAAGTACTAAAGGTGATTTTTTTTAAAAGATATTTTTAAAATTGTCAAGTGATTTAATGCAGATGAACATATTTCTATTTTAAGTTACAGGGGAATCTGTAAGAATGTTCACTTGAAACATGGTTAACCTTTTTTCCTTTGTTGGTTTTGATTTGATTAGATGGATACCATGAGATGTTAATATTCAAACATGTAATAAATAGAATGATAAAGAAACTTCCAGTTTGTATGTCTGTTTCTTGAGTGACTTGATTTTACCTGTTTCTTAGAAGTGTTAGTGTGGTACTTGTTATGACATAAGCAGGCATTCTCACAGAAAAGACTCTAATCTTTTCTGTCATCTGCTGGAGGCAAATCTATAAAACACAGGCATAATTTACTAAACACTATATGCTTGGCACTAGCAGACTTTATATTTTCCCTGGTACTTAAGAAATCATGGTACGTACCATGATTAATCCACTTTCTAGATAAAACGTAGCCACCAAGGTTAGCTGTACAATAATTTGAACCTAGCTTTATTTTAATGGGAGATCTAAAGATAAAAGGCTTAAGATAGAAATTGCCATACCAACCTGTAGTGGTCAGTTAAGGAAGACTTTACAGAGGTGATACCTCAGTCTCGTCCTATAACTAGTTGTGGAGTTCATAATGACAGGAAGGGTAACTGGAGAATTAACAGCAAATGGAATGGTATGAAACAGCTCATGTTTTGAAAAAAAGGGACTTTTACACTGCTGACACTGGTAATTTTGAATGATTACGAACTGTTTTGGTCATGATGACCAGAACTGCCACTAGACATTTTAAACAAAAGTGGACATTTTTGTTCATTGAAGAGGCTTTTTCTGCCGGGTGTGGTGGTGCATGCCTGTAATCCCAGCACTTGGGAGGCTGAGGAAGGAGAATCACTGTGAGTTCAAGGCCAGCCTGGGCTACATAGTGAAACCCTGTCTCAAAAAATTAAAAAAAAAAAAAACTTTTTTCTAAGAATAACACATTTTAAAGAGATTATTAAATGTTGGAGAAAGGCCTAGTAATAAAATTGGTGAATCTTTACTGGGTTTGAGACTACACAAAAACACTGCATTAAAAAGATGAATCCAATAGGCAAAATTTTCTGCTGGACATTTTTCTGGTGAAACCTTACCTGTTTATAAATGCCTACAAAAAGTATTCAAAGAGTGAAAAGAGGGTTAAGGACGTTCCTTAGGGAATAAAAAGCCTGTAGGAAGGTAAAGACCTAAAGAAACGTGATTTTAAAAAAAGTAATAGAAAAATAGCAATGCAAAAAAAAAAAATTAAACACTAATCAACAAAGTAGAAAAAAAATGATAAGCTTAAGAAAGATTCCCTAATAACCCAAGAACAGTTTGATATAGATGCTCAGGGCAGGTGCAATGGGCAGTGTGAATGATAAGTAATGAAACAGCATGAGTTATAAAATTTAGCCAAAATACTGAGGAACCTTGGAGAAGAGAGATGTCAGAGGCTGATGAAATAAGATGGTATCAGGAGTACAGGAGCCAGTGCTGCTTCTGAGGGTAACTGGTATTTACAGTTGGAATTAAGATAGTTTAACTGCTATTTTATCTTTGAGATAGAATGTTAGATGTGGGTTAATGATGTAAACCTACATAAATTTGGCTATGCATTAGAACTACTTAAGGGAATGTTAAGAAATTCCTCATCTCAAGGGTTTCTCATTTAGTTGCTTCTTGCAGCAACCTCAAACATTTTAAGATGTTCTACAGTAAAATGTTCCAGAGTCAATCTACGAATCAAAATTTGACTTAAGCCCCACATAGAACTGGGAACTAGAACTAGTAACCAACTCTGGAAAGTGCAACAAGGAAGGCTAAATGAAGCCTCAAAGACGATGGGTCATTATCTTTTGGATTAAGTGATGTTTATGAGAATGTAAGGAATGTAGGAATTTCATTAAATTTATACTTACTTTGCTGTGTCCTGCACTTAATGTAATTTTTGTTTTTAAAGCTTCCAATTTTGATCTGGAAAATACAAAGCAATCTCCCTGGAATTCGGCTAAAAATAAATGGGGAAGAAAAAGATGGTATTTACTGAAAGAATCACTTGTAACAGCTCACCTTACAATAGAAAATTATACATTGTTATACTTAATTTTAGTACCAAACAAAAGTCCTAAAAAAGGTTCATAAAGAATATTCAGGAAAATCTTAAGAAGGCATTTAAAGATGCCTGGAAGAGGAAAGATGTAGCTGATCAAGGACGCAAACTGAAAATAGAAAATCAAAAGGACACTGTCAGGAATGTCCTAAATTTTCGTGAAGTTGGAAGTTCTTTCCTAACCCCAACCAGTGGAAATGAGTACTCTATTGGGCAATTAAGGAAAAATAAGAAATTTGAAACAAAAGTATCCATGGATTAGCCCAGGTTTGGAGGTGGGCACTAAAGAGAATGCCTTAGAGGGAAGATTGAGACTACATGGGCAGAGCTGGGGGACAGGGTATGCACCTGTAGTTCTAGCTACTTGAAAGGCAGTTTGAAGGCACCTCCGGCAACAGAATGACTTTCTCAAAACATCACCACCTCATTTTTTGAAAAACGGGGAAAAGTCTAGCCACTTTTACTAATTGAAACCAAAGCCTCCTACTCACAAATGGTTCTCTTTGGAATTCTGCACTTCAAGAAGCTTCTTTTATAGTCAATCACTTACCTTGAAATCCTGTGCAATCTGGTTTTTGCATCTTGATCATTTTATTAAAATTGCTCTCCTGAATATATCAATGACTCTGCCCGAATCAATGTTTTTCTTAAGTCTTTTGATCCTTCTTACTCCCCTATTCTTTGAAAATATCTTCTTTTGCTTTGTGTGATGGTATGATTCTCTTTTCTTCTACATTTTTACTTAGGATTAAAGCAAACAAAAAAATAATACAGATATGAAAAGTCACATCTTCTTGTTCTGTAACCAATGGTTAGCCAAAAGATCTTTTCCAAACTTATGATTCTTTTACAAAATAATTGCTGAGTTAATTGTACATGTATTATTTGTACTGTTTTCACTGTAATCCATAAATATGCCTGTAATCCAGGCATATTATTGCCTGTAGAATTGTATTTCTAGCAGTTATATTTTGTAACTAATTTTACTTAGCAAAACTTTTACGGGTGAATATTCAAAATTAAAATCAGTTACAAAGTTATGACTATCAAAGTACATATATTTGCACATTTTTTTGAAGCCTTTACAAACACACACAGCCTCACAAGTAATATGTATTTAAATTTTTGAGAAAGGTAGAGTTTGGAAACATTCTATCCTTTATGTATGTTCCTGATGATTTTTGAGAAGGATACCCTACTTTAGGACATTCTTTCATGATTATCAGTTTAAGATTTTTTTTTAATTCTTAAGCCAAATTTTGAAATTTACATTTTTCTAAAAATTATCAAGTCAATTTTTAAGGTTATTAGTAAAAGGCTACATAATTCATTTTTGATTTACTGTCTCCTAATCTGTAATAAATTGTTTCCAATATTTTTTCTCTACTTTCTTGGATTTGCTGTGTCTGTTTTCTTTACCAAATACCAGATATTACTATGATCAATGTTATTGTCTATTACATTAACTTTTGCTTTTTCCATTCTTTTTATTTTGGAAATGGAAAATTTAATTTTACCTGTTTTTTTACTTGTTTTCTTTGCTGATCTTTCCTGCCATATTGCCTCACATTTTTCATGTGTTGCTTTCCTCCCTCAGTGAGTTTACCCACTCTACATAGCAAAATTGCTTTGATCATTATTATGTAAGTAACTACAAAGACTACATTAATTTGAAGCCAGTCATGGAAGGTTCCAATTCCCCATCTATTATGTGATCTTGGTCAAATATGAACTGTTCATCTGTAAAAACAAAAATAACAGTAAAGATTAAATTTGAAATTATGTGCAAATCATTTATCGTAGAAACTGGTCTATTTTTATAACTCAATAAAGATTATTAGTATCTCAGTTGCTCCTTCTAAAAATGAGCTTGGAATGAACAATCCCAAATTCCCTTCCAATGGTAAAAAATTTCATCGTCCACCTATCGGTTCATCCACTGGATAACCAACTGATCAACCTACCAACTGAGTTGTTCACAACAGCTATTAAGCCCTTCCCTTGAAGTAAATACTCTAGATATCAGAAATGCCAAGATGAATTAATTCAGAACACCTACCTTCCAGAAGCTCCAAATCCTTAGGGTATGTGGTCAGGAAGTGAGAATCAATTGTTAAATAGGCATCTATAGTACAATGTGATAACTATTCTAGTTAAGGTGGAGCACATACAACAAAACTTAAGTACCTACATTGGAATGCTGATTCAGGTACTAGCTGCGTAACTTTCAGGAAACTTTTCTGAAAAAAGGAATAATATCTATTCCAGGTTATAGTAAGAATTATACTAACAAATTACTATAAAACAGTTAGTGCCACACTACAATGTGATAACTATTCTAGTTAAGGTGGAGCACATACAACAAAACTTAAGTACCTACATTGGAATGCTGATTCAGGTACTAGCTGCGTAACTTTCAGGAAACTTTTCTGAAAAAAGGAATAATATCTATTCCAGGTTATAGTAAGAATTATACTAACAAATTACTATAAAACAGTTAGTGCCACACTGATCTTACAAACTCAGTAACGCTTACAGACTCAATACAAAAGACTATGGTAAAGAAAGGCAACTTACTATACCTCAATAGAAAAGAGGTACAATCAAAGAAATTCCTAACGTACAGAACAAAACGGGTGGTGGAGGGGGGTTCCTGGAAGGAACAGCATTTGCAAAGACAGAATGATATGGAAAAGTATATTTGTGTGGCAGGGTAATAAAGGGTGGGGAAAAAACAGCTTCGGAGGGAATGTCTCAGAGGACACAATTCTTACTGCTTTCTGTATTTGCAGCTGCTAGGACAAAACGTGATAGATTAGATTTACAATAAACAATGAATTGTAAGAATATGTTACACAATAGGGTCGGAGAGAAAGATTTGGGCCAAATTGTTGAAACTATTACAGTGAAGAAACTTTGGTTATTAAGTCAGTAGACCTGAAGTAGTCTTTTGACTAATGATGTGTGTTTTTTATCTCGTTTTACAACTTACCTGACGTTTGACAATAGCAAATTACTGATAGTTTGAGTCTTTACCTGTAAAATGGGATAACCCCTAACAAGCGATTATCAAAGAGCCTGGTACTAGTAACCACTCAGTAACGACTGAGGGTGCAGCTGCCAACTTCTCTTTTAGGTCTTTTTCTATATTTGTAAGATGACAGGGCGAGAACAGGGCTATTCTTCCAAACAGCAGTCAAAAAGTATACCAGGTTTTTCAAGGACGAAAAGGCCCCGCCCGGCCCGCGCCACACAGGTCACCTACGCATTCAGTCCTGGGGCCTCCATTTAGGTCGCTGAGCGATAGAGGGCGAGGTCGATGACAGGCTGTTCCAGACACAGGCTTAGATAGGATCTTGTGAGAAGGATCAAAATCTCACAGAAAACCGGTCCACACCAGAGTCCCATGGCTCTAGGGGCGAAGCCTCGAAAAAGGTAAAAGGACAGGAAGGAAGCAGGAAGTGACGTAACCTGCGAGGAACCGGAAATGACCGAATGACGCTGGAAGTTTACTCGTTTCCAAGGGAACGGTCTCGCCACCACTCCCCCTAGGTGGGCTGGGACGCTGGCAAGCGACCTAAAGGACTGGGTATCTCTCGATGGCGGCCGCTGCCACAGCGACTCGTGGGAAACAGTAAACCAAGCCGGCGGCCGCCACACTAGCCACGTTGTGTGGAAGATAATCGGCAGACACTTTCATCGCGAGGACGAATACTGGGAAGAAATTAAGGAAGACCAGGAATATTTTTGTAGCGACGACAAGGAAAGAAAACGTGAAGGCGACACCTGCCTCTGCAGCGTTTCTCCAGGAAGAGTAAGTGAAGACAGTTTTTCCTGCAAGGACTCGAGAAGACTCAGTGACGACGTAGACCACCACTGCAGTGAAGCTCACGAGAGAGTCAGAGGACATGGTGGCCACTGTTACAGCAGCTCTTCGGTGAGGGAGAAGGGAGACCGCGGCTTCTGCAGCAGTGACGTGGATTTATGTGAAGTCACTGGCTCACAAACTAGCGACTCCGGGGTAGCAGTCAGAAAAGACCGCGTCCTGCACCCCTCTGGCTCTTGGCACAGAGTCAGGGAAGTCCAAGGCCTCCGGATCAGTGACTGCGCAAAAGGAGTCGCTGACAACTGCAGCTGCCACCTCAGTGGTTCTTTGGAGGGAGAGAGCGTCGATGGCAGCGACTGCCACTGTAATTCTTGGGACGGACTAAGTGAAGACCGTGGCTACGCGGCCAGCGACTCCTCTGGACTGAGTGTCAGCGAAGACGCCGGCCGCCGTCTCCCAGGTTTCTGGGAGAGAGCGAGTGAAGACGAAGAGTCTTGTTTCAGGGGCTCCAGGGAAGGAGCAAGGAGGGGAAACTGTGGCCCCTGTCCTGGGAACGACGATGAAGGCTGCCGCTGCCGCTGCAGTGGCTCATGGGTGAAAGTGAGCGAAGACAGACGCCGCAGCAGGGATCTGGACTCAGCCCGGCTCACCATGCCTGGGGTGGCCAGTTCGGGCCCCTCCACTACCTGTAGGGAGACTACAGACTCATGTGAGTTTCGTTGTTTTTTGGCCCTTGTTGTTGTTGTTGTCTTTTTGAGACAAGGTCTTGGCATGTAGTTCAGGCAGTCCTTGAACTCACTAGGTATCCCAGGCTGACCTTGAACTCCCAAAAGTTCTCTTCCATCAGCCTCCCAAATGCTGGGGTTACAGGCCTGTGCCAACATACATAGCAGTTTTTTTCTGTTGTATTTATTCAAGTGGATTCTAAAGTGTTAGTGTAAAGAAAGTGTATTGAATCCGTCTTATTTTCTATTGTGCTATCATAGTGCCTGATTCATAACTCAGGAAGGATTTTTGAATATGTACTATTTTGCTGAGTTTTGAATACATATATGCTATTTCGGTATAAGATGTGATCTTAGTATAATATGATTCTATCCTTTAAGAAATTGACATTCTATCAGGTAGAGTGGCATATGGCTCATCTCAGCTACTTGGGAGGCTGAGGCAGGAAGATTGCTTGAACCCCAAAGTGTGAGCAATATAGATCCTATAACTAAAAGAAAAAGAGAGAGAAACAGAAGTATCTGCACATTCTTGTCTGTCATGTGATTCTGTAAGTGAAAAAACTCAGGGTACCAAAGGAGAAACTAGTTCTGAGGAGAAAAACAGAGCTCCAGGAATCAAGAAGAGGTAAGAAGAAAGCTAAAAAAGGAAATAAATTAACATATTGATTGCAGCAAGAGGACGGACCCACACACATACACACACAGAGTAGTACATTTGCATAGATCATTTTCTAGAAATATTTCTGACTTGTTTTCAAGGTAACTTGCACCAGGGAATCATTTTTTTCTTGTCTTTGTTTGTTGATGTTTAGGGAATGCTTGCATTAAACTATCCCTTCTTCCTCCTTCAGTAAGTGTTCATGCTTAGATATCTTACTGCTTTGGGTTCACAGGCACATTAAAATATTTCATGAGTACATGTCAGTAAGCCTGACAGTGTACTCCTGTTATTTGTAATATTAAATTATAAACAATAGGGCAAACCATTTTGGACCAGTCCTGTCTCACTAGAGCTATTCCTATTCCCCAGTATTACTCTTAAAAAATTATAACATGTAAACCACTGGAGTATATGAACCAAAATATTACCTGTCCTTCCTTCCTTACTGTAATATAGAAGTCCCTTTTCCTGTCCTCATCATAGTCTGAGAAGTTTATGTTTGTAATACCATTGAAATGTTACTGAAATTCTAGCGAGTTAATTCCAATCTACTACCTCCAGTGCAAACCATGGCAAGAATAAAGAAACTAAGATGTATTTGTAATTATGGGGGTCAAGGGGTTCAGAGTCTGGCGCATTAGAAGGTTCATCGGAAAAAAGGGCCTTGACCCTGAGCCTAACTCAGATTTAATTAGTTTGTGATGAAGGGACTTGCTAGAGGTTGAGTGACTGGGAGATGGGTGGAAATCACATGAATACTGTGAGCTGGGCTAGTGAGGAAGCAAGAAAGCCCCTCTGCAATATGCACAGAGAAGGATGTGCAGAAAGACTAATCTGCATAACACAATCGAGGTAGCATTTAATTCAGCCAGCAGTGCTTCAGTTCTGATGTGCAAACTTTTGTGCTCTGGGAAGTCATAGCCTTCTGTCTTGAGGCTTAAACCCAGTCAACAGCTCTGGAGCACTGAGCACTGGGCTCAACCATTTAGGTAGACACTGAGATGGAGAAACAGTGACTGTGTCTAGCTTCAAAGATTATGTATCAGAACTTCAGCTAGCCCTATTTACATTGCTTAGAGACCCTGTAAGGGAAAAGGAAATAGCTTAGCCAGCTCCATACATAAGATAGGGCCAGATTTAACCAAAGTGGAGGTAATTGCTCTTTATACAAGGACAATCGCCCAGGAGATCCTCTACACTGTAAGATATTTGAATTAGAATGATAAGAAAAATATTGTTAAACTATCTGTGTATGTGATGTGAGTTTTTGGTTAATATTCCAGACCCTTGCAAAAGACATGAGCTGTTATTTTTTGGCTTTTTTGGTTGATATCTTGATGGGGTTTCTGGAGGTAAAATGTATCAAAGTGTAGGCTTCCTGAGACTACAGGCACTGGAAGTTTCCTATTTTAGTTTAGTTGTACTCAGCTTGGATAAATAATCAGAATTACTGGAGGAAAAGATAACTCAGGAAAAAGGAGAAAAGAAGGAAGGAAAAAGAAGAAAGAGATAAATTTGTGTATACCCACTTAAGATAACTAAGATGATTGTGCTACTAATTCTATTAGTTCTTAGAACAAAACAGTTAACATTCATAGGATTAGATCAATTTTGTATGTTTCTATCTGGTAATCTGAGTAACTTTTTAAAAGATAACTATGCAAAATAACAACCTTAGTTATGTTCCTTATCACGTTGGTCCGAAAGCCTTTATTGTCTTTGTTTTGGGCTCTTTGTTATTGTTATTTGTCTCTTTTTTTTCTTTTCTCCTAATTTGTTTTGTTATGTTTTGTCTTTCCCTCTAATACAGAAAAGGTAGATGTACATGTATAGGTTTATACATGCCTTGAACTTCTACAGAGTTTACAAGAATTGATTTTATTACGTGTGATGGTATGAATAGCTACTTTGAAGAAAACCAGACATTATGGTTTGAAGAAAATCAGTCATTGCTGATTTCCCATCATCTTTTGAAGTCCAATAATGCTTTTATTCTTTATTTTGTTGATTGTAGTCTGTTTTGTATTATTTAATTTCAATATGTGTGAAGGTAAGGACAGCTATTTTGAAGAGAACAAGAGGCATTATGGTAGCTATTGTTGATTTTCTGAAGGCCTGTAATGCTTTCATTGTTATGTTTTGATTTGTTTTATACAATTTTGTCTTGTTTGAGTTGATTGTATGTGAAGATCTGGACAGTTGTTTCAAAGAAAACAAGAGACATTATGGTAACCACTGTTGATTTCCTGTTGTCTTGTTTTGAAATCCTGTGTTGCTTGCATTGTTTTGATCTGATCTGCTTTGTTCTGTTGTTTTGTTTTGTTTTATTCTCTTTAAGATAAAAAAAAATTCTAAAAAATCAAAATTACCATTCTGGTGCTTCTACCAGTTTATGGCTCCAGAAGTTTTTGCTCCAGGTAAGATGAACTTGACTACATTTGTCTGTGTTTGCCTCTCCAGATTTGGGATGGAAATTTGCCAAGAGACCTCAATTTTTAGTGGGAGTCTGAAAAAGTTGTTGGCTTTAAAAATACTGAGTTTTTTCTTTTTAAGGATGAGTGTGTCAATATTCATGATCTTTTACATATCAGAACTAAAACTAGACAGTCTAGTTAAGATGCTAATTGGAAATATCTTGGAACAAATTGTTTGGAAATCTGAAATGATTTTGTGCTTTCTCTTAAATCATTGCTGTAGTCTTTTTTCATAGTTCTATTTAAGCAATTTAATTCATTAATAGGTTCTAGGAAGAAGGTGAATCTTGGTAGCATCCATGATGCAGTACGAGCTGGAGAAATACAGCAGCTTTCGGAGATAGTGGAACGTGGTGCCAACATTAATGAAGTTGATGTTCTCCATAAATTTACCCCTCTACACTGGGCAGCACATTCTGGAAGTCTGGAGGTAAGAAATTTTCCACATTACTAAACTAACAGAAGTTTACACTTATATAGTAGTTTAATAAATTTAACATATAGTAGTTTTATAAATGTAACAAATACTACAAATATTTTTCTTTTTAGTTCATTCTGATATTTGGGTGTTCTCTTTTCCTAGGCTAATGTTTGTATGCTTGTTTGCTTGTTTTTCGTGAGTTTCATGGTGTAGTTCAGGCTTGCCTGGAGTTTACAATCCTCCTGGCTCAGCCTCTGTCTTGGTTACTTTTCTTTCATTGTTGAGACAAAATACTTGATGCACAAAATGAAACAAGGGAAAATTTATTTCTTGCAGTTTTGGAGTTTTCAGTCCATACTCAGCTGCCACAAGACAGGATGGCATAGCAGGGCAGGCATTAGTGGCCACCCCAAACAGCAAAATGCGAACAGAGCAGAAGAGGAAAGAAACACCTTATTCCCTGTCCTTACACTGTATGCTGGCTCCACCCCTGGGTGAGTGCAGCACTCACACCACCAATCCCAGTGCCAGACAACAAACTAATCAGGAATGACAGACTCAGCTGGGTCCATGATTGTATGTGGCTTGTGTATGTGGGAGCATCCAAACAGAAACCTAATTTCTCTCAGTGAGTGTGTTGTTTGTGTACAGGAATGCTACTGATTTTTGAGTGTTGATTTTGTATGCAGGTACATTACTGGATTTGGTTATTACATATAGAAGTCTTTTGGTAGAGATTTTGGTTTTTTCCTATATAGAGTATCATGTTGTCTGCAAATAATGATAATTTAACTTTCCTATCCTTATTTCTTTTCTTTCTTTCTCTTGTCTATTGCTCCTGCAAATGTTTCCTGAACTATATTAAATAAGAGTGGTGACAATGGACACCTTTGTCTTGTTTCTGATTTTACAGTGAAAGCTTTCACTTTTTCTCTATTTAGTACAATGTTGGGTGTTGGTTTGTCATAGATAGCTTTTATTAGATTAAGATAAAGACCATCTATTCCAATTTTCTATAGGTTTTTAAAAATTCTGAATGGTGTTGGACTTTGTCAAATGATTTTTCTTTTGTCTATTGAGATGATCATGGATCTTTGTGTTTAGGTGTGTTAATATGGTATATAACCAGTTACACTTATTGATTTGCATATACTGAACCATATCTACATCCTAGAATGAATCCTAATTGATCATGGTGTATAATCTTCTTGATGACTTGCTGCATTTGTTTGCTAGTTTCTTATTGAGGATTTTTGCATCTATGTTGTTTGGGGAGATTTGCCTGTAGTTTTCTTCTTCTTCTTCTTTTTTTTTGTTGGATCCTTCTGTGGTTTTGGTATCAGGGTAATGCTTACTTCCAGGAATGACTTTTGAAGCACCACTGCTTCCTTTTCAATTTCATTAAAGAGTTTGAAAAGTAGCAGCATTAGGTCTTCTGTAAATTTCTTGTAGAATTCAATATTGAATCTGTTAGGGTCTGGGCTTTTCTTTGTTGGTAGGTTTTTAATTACATCTTCAATTTCACTGATCAATATTAGTTTATTAAAATTTTCATATCTTCTTGACTCAGCTTGGTACTTCGTATGTATCTAGGAATCTTCCTATTTCTTCTTTGTTTTCCATCTTGTTACATACAGGTTCTTGAAGTGTAGGTATTGATGATCTTTCTGCAGGATCTGTTGTGACTTTACTCTTTTCATTCCTACTTACATGGATTTGAGTCTTATCTTTCCTTTTTTTTATAAGATTGGCTAAGAGTTTTTCAATTTTATTTAATCTTTCAAAGAATCAACTTTGTTTCATTGATTCTTTGTATTATTTTCTTAGTGTCCATTGCATTATTTTCTGTTCTGATCTTTATGATTTCTTCCCTTGTGTGAGCTTTGGATTTACTTGTTCTCATGTTTCTAAATGCTTGAACTTCAATATTAGGGTTTTTTTTTTTTTTGTACGGGGGATCTAATTCACGCTTGCCCCGCAGGCGCTTGTGCCGCTGAGGTAAACCCTTGGCCCTAGGTGTTTTAAAGCTCACTGTCTTTTTCCATTATGAGAAGTCATCAGTATAAATTTCCCCTGTAGGTTTTTTTTCATTGTGTTCAATTATAAGTTCTACTGTGTTGCACTAGTGTTACTGTTTAATTGCAGAAACTTCAATTTCTTTTTAAATTTCATCCCTGACCTATTGATTGTTCAGGAGAGTATGATTTAATTCCCATTCTTTATGAAATTTTTGTGGTCTCTATTGTCATTGATTTCCAGTTTCCTTGCACTATGGTCTGATAATGTGCATGGGGCAAGTTCAAATCCTTTGCATTTATTTAAGCATGTTCTATGAGCTACTTTGTGATCTATTTTGGAGAATGCCCCTGGTGAAGCTGAGAAGAATGTGTATTCTGATGTTGCAGGATGAAACATTCTTTAGACATCTACTCAGTCCATTTGTTCAAAAATTTGGTTCAGTCCTGATATTTATTGACTTTTTGTCTAATTGTTCTATTTGTGACAGTGGGGCATTGCAGTATTCCACTGAAGTTGTATTAGTGCTTATTTGATTTTTCATGTGCATTATTATTTGTTTTATATATTTGTGTGTGCTTTCATTTAGTGCATATATATTTACAGTTATTATCACTTCCTCTTATATTGTTCCCTTTACTAAGATGTGATGAGCTTCTTTGTCTTTCTCTTAATCTTGGCTTGAAATCCATTTTGTCTGAAAATAGAATAGCTATCCCTGCTTTCTTCTGGGTTCTTGTCACATAGAGTATTGTTTTCTATCCTTTGACTTTCAGTCTATAAATTTCGAATTAAATGTGTTTTTTGAGGGAACTGGGCTGCTGGCAGGGGTAACTTCTTGCTCACCATCCCAAGCCTTGCAACAAATCCTGGAAAGTTTTAAGATGATCGCTCCCAGTGGTCATTGTGTCCAATTGTTTTCATTGTGTCCAATTATAAGTTCTACTATGTTGTTATAAGTTCTACTCTGAAGTACCCAGCCACACTAGTGTGGCTTCCAGCCACACTAGACTGGGCTCTGCAGGTTTCGGGCCTGCCTGGACCATGCCCAGTGACCATCTTTCAGTTTGGGGAACTATGCTACCAGAGGAGGGAACTGGGATCCTGGCAGGGATGAGTTCCTGCTCATCATCCTGAGCCCCAGGAGAGTTTAAGACCATCTTGGTGGTCAAGGACACATTCAGCTTCCAGCCACACTAGACTAGGCTCTGCAGGTTTCAGATCTGCCTGGACCATGCCCAGTGACCTTCTTTCAATCTGGGGAACTGTGCTGCCAGAGAAAGGAACTGGGCTGCTGGAGGTCAGTTTCTGCTCACTATCCCGTGCCCTGGGAGAGTTTAAGATCATTGCTCACAATGGTCAAGGACCTACCCAGCTTCCAGCCACACTAGAACAGGCTTGGGAGGTTTTGTGGCCCAACTAGATTACACCCAGTGACCTTCTTCAATTAGGGGAGTTGAGAGAACGTGAAGTGAGTTCCAGCCCATTGGTCATTGCCTGGGGAGAGCTTTGGACCATCATTCACAGTGGTTAGGTGCCCACCCAGCTTCCTGGAACACTGGAGGTGGCACAGGAGGTCCTGTAGGCCTGACTGGATCATGCTCAGCAACCTCCATTCAATCCCAGGTTCTGAGGGTATAGGAGACAATATCCAACATGTCCAGGAGAAGCCTTGCAACAACATTTAAAACACAGAAATATAGGAAAATGACAAAACAAAAGACCAAAATGCAACCTCAAACCTCTAGCCCATCCCAAGAAAGCCTAGGAGCCATGTACATAGAAGAAAATATAAGCCATACACCTGAAATACCTAAAGTAATAGCAACTGAAGTAAAGAAGCAATTTCTGGGAAGCTTTAAAGGAATTCAAACTAGAAATACTCTCCAAGGTAAAAGAAGAAACGATAAAAGAAATAAAGAGATGCTGAACACATCTAAAGAAGACACAACTAAAAATTAGAGGAACAAAACAAAAATATAGAATCCCTGGATGAAAATATAAGAAACAAACAGAATACATGAAGCAGATTCAAAGAGATACAGGAAATCAAAAATTCAATTCAAAGTTGTCAAAACCAACTCAACGAAAGTGAAGATAGAATTTCAGACCTCGAAGACAAGATTGTAGCTGGTAAACAGGAAAGGAAAGATCTTTAAAAAAAAAACAAGGAATCAGGAAATAACAATTCAACAGCTGCAAGATGATGCAAAGAAAAACAACATAAGATTGATAGGGATAAATGGGAAAGAAGGGGACAACACAAATGGTATCAAGAGGCTATTTACAGAAGTAATAGCTGAAAATTTCCCAAACATGAGAATGGTAACTAACATTAGGGTTAGTGAAGCATATAGAACTCCAAATAGCCATAACCAAAATAAAACTACGCCTAAGCATATAATAACCCTCATTCCAGAAATCCAACATAAGAACAAAATATTAAAAGCTGTTAGAGAGAAAAGACAGATCACCTATAAAGAAAAACCTATCAGAATCACAGCAAACTTCTCCACACAAACAATGAAATCAAGAAGAGCATGGAGTGAAGTATTTCAGATCCTAAAAGAAAATGATTTCCAGCCCAGACTGATATACCATGCAAAACTGTCCTTCAAAATGGATGAAGAGGGGCTGAGGATTTAGCTCAGCGGCATAAGCGCCTGCCTTGCAAGCAGGCAGTCATGAGTTTGATCCCCGGTACCGATAAAAAGGAAAAAGACCAAAAAAAAAAAAAAAAAAAAAAAAGGATGGAGAAATAATATACTTCCATGACAAAAACAGCTGAATAACTTCATGATCAACAAGCCAACCCTGCAAAAAATACTAAAAAACAGTTTAGATACACATAGGAAAAAACCACTAAGCAAGGCAGACAATTAAACAGGATGGAAAGATAAAGATGCAAGAGCAGAAAGATAACATGACAATAATTAACCAATATATAACAGTTATAACCATTAATGTAAATGGTCTCAATTCACCAATTAAAA